AGCACAAGGAAGAGACACCGGAGCGGCGTTGTGTACGCATATGAAGAGCGACTTCAGCTGCTGCTGCTGCTGTTGCTGCTGTTGCTTTTGCTGCTGCTGCTGTATGCAGATCGAGACCTGCAGCAGCAAGCAAGATCCACTGCTGCAGCAAAACTGCAGCGGCTGCGGCTGCATCTCGATAGAGCAGCAGCCAACTAAGCTGCTGCTGCCATCATCAATAATACAACCAGCAACACGTGCTGCTGCTGTTGCTGCTGCTGCTGGCAGCAGCGCAGCAGATGCACTGTCGCTGCTAGCAGCAGCAGCCATTGCTGCTGCTAAGTCTGCCCGCCATTCAGGCCCCTGTAGTTTTATTCGTCTAGTCAGGTGCTGCTGCTGCTGCTGCTGCCGTTGCTGCCGTTGCTGCTGCTGCCTTTGCTGCTGGTGCAGCCGTTGCTGCTGCTGCAGCGGCCGTCGTTGTTGCTGTTGGAGGCTGGAGGTACTAGCAGAAGTAACACATGCAGCAGCAGCAGATGCGGGTGCCTGCTGCAGCAGCGCTTCTGGCGGAGGTAGTGCTGCTGCTGTCACCATACGATCAAGGTGTTGCTGCTGCTGTTGCTGCGGCAGCAGCTGCAGCAGCTGCCAGTGGGGCAGCAAGGCCCCTGTCTGCAGCGGTAAATGCTCTGCATGCAGCAGCGCTGTTGCTGCTACTGCCTGCAGCCTTGCCCCTGCTGCTGCTACTCGGTGTGGCGCCACATCCTCTGCTGCTGCTGCCGCCGCCGCCACGTTAGTTGCTGCTGCTGCTGCGGCGGCGGCAGCTGCTGCTGCTTCGCCCGCTGCGACTCCCGCAGCAGCAGCAGCGCGCGTCCTGAATGCGCCCTCACTGCAGGAACGTGGCAACAGCTGCTGCTGCGCTGCAGCAGCAAAGGCGTCCGTCTGCAGGAGCGCTGCTGCAGCAGAGAGGCGTGCTGCAGCACGAAGTGCAGCACGGGGCTGCACCAGCCGCAGCAGCAACCTGACACGAGGAGGGCGACAGTCATGCTGTGTTGGATTTGCTGTTGGCAGACCCGTGCGGCTGCTGCTGCTGCTGCTGCTAGCTTCTGCTGCTGCGATGCAGTCATCCTCATCATCGGCTGCGCATGCAGCCCCGCGACGAACATGCAGCCCAACAGGAGCAATGAAACTAGCAGCAGCAGCATCAGGAGGAGCAGCATGAGTTGCTGCTGCTGCTGCTGCATGCAGCTGCTGCAGCAGCCACACAGCAGCAAGTTCTGTCTCCGCAGGCGCCCAGTATACAGCAGCAGATCTGCCGCGCCTCCTCCTAATGCCTTCCCTCAAGGCAGCAGCAGCGGCAGCAGCAGCAGCAGGAGTTGCTGCAGCAGCAAGGGCAGACCCATCGGCGACGTCTTGTGCTACTGCAGCTGGTACTGCTGCTGCACCTGCTCCTGCTGCTGACGATGGGCATGGCCGCTTCCGCTGCCGCTGCTGCTGCTGCAGCTCCCCTGCTTCTCCTTCTTGCGCTGCGCCAATCCATCCTGCCTTCCGTTTCCCCAGGATGTCTGCAGCAGCTGACTGCTGCTTCTGCTGCTGCTTCTGCTGCTGCTTTTGCTGCTCTGCATGCATTGTAGATGCAGCAGGAAACAGCTTAAGGGCATCCAGCAGAGAATCGGTCATCCACAATGGTCGCTGTTCGCTGCCTGCAGAGCTGCTGTTGCTGCTGCTGCTGCTGCTGTTGCTGGCAGCAAGAACATTGCCCCTACATACAGAAGCAGCAACACGAAGAGACTGCAGCAAAGCAGACGACCTGCACGGAATATCCTGATGCAGCAGCAGCCAAGCCTCTGCGCTGCAGAGCCACTTGCCGCTGCAGATAGTACAGTCCTTGCTGCAGCCATTGCTGCTGCTGCTGCTGCTGCAGCAGCAGCAGCAGCAACTCGGAGTCCCCATTATAGGCCACAGCGCCTCTGCTAAGGCAGATAAATCCTTAAAGGCGTCTTTGCTGTGCTCAATACTTGAGGTATTGTCGCTGCTGCTGCGGCCGTCATCTATCGGGCCGCTGCTGCTGCTGCTGCTGCTGCTGCTACTGCTGCTGCGGCCAGTGTACCTCGTAACAGGTAGAAAGGCTACTGGATCAGCAACTCTTGCTAATGCTGTTGTCCGTGAATTTGTGGGTAGGTAGGGGAATAAAAGCCCTTCCTGCTGCCGCTGCTGCTGCTGTCGCTGCTGCTGCTGTCGCTGCTGCTGCTGTCGCTGCTGCTGCTGCTGCTGCTGCTGCTGCTGCTGCTTGTTTAATCCTCTGCGGAGGTGCTCTGCTCTAGCTAGCAGCCCCCGCTGCGCTGTGTATGTAAGGGCTATGAGGCTAAGGCTTTGCTGCAGTCCTTCTAATATAGGGAACTGCAGCAGCAGCAACTGCTGCTGCTGCTGCACATCTAAGGGGAAAACAGCAGCAGCACGAGCCCCCCAAGCTAGACGAGCAGCATCAAGACACCCCAAGGACTCCAACTGTAGGAGAAGCTGCTGCTGCAGTTGTTGCAATACCATTTGCTGCTGCTGCAGTTGCTGCTGTTGCTGCACAGGAGTTGTGCTGCGCCAACTGCTGCTGCTGCTGCTGCTGATGCTTCTTGCTGCTGCTGTTCCCGCATCTACCATCAGCGCCCCAGCCAGATCTGCTGCAGCAGCAGCAACACCACTTCCCGCGTCCGTCTTCCCCCCCGCCGCTGCTATTGCTGCCGCCGCTGCTGCTGCTACGATGTGCTGCAGCGCTGGATGCTTAGGTGCAGCACAAATAAGCAAACGCAGCAGGGCCTCCCTTAATGGTAATAATTTAAGGGGGGCCCCCAAGACAGCAGCAGCAGAACGAGAGAAAGGATGAGAGAGAAGCTTGAATGCTTCTTGTCTATCTGCTGCTGCATATAGCTGAGACACCCGAGCTATGCATGCAATGGTGCATGCGGTGCTGCTGCTGCTGCTGCTGCTGTTGCTGTTGTTGGTGTAGGTGTAGGTAGTGTTGTTGCTGCTGCTTCTACTAGCGCATGCAGGCAGCAGCAGCAGCAAACCCTGCATGCATGCCTTAACAGCACGGGCATTACGAGCAAAGCAGCAGCTAATCATCTGCAGCAGCAGCAGCCGCGTTGTCTTGCTTCTCTCGTGCAGCAGCGGAGACACCGCGCGTCTTAGGGCTCCATCACGTAGAGGAGAGACAAGAGACAGTTCAGCAGCAGCAGCAGCAACTAGCCGCTGCACCTGCAGCGAGGGGTCTCCTATAAGGTCCCATAAGAAGGACTGCAGCAGCAGGGAGAGTTTGCTGCAGCAGGAACGCTGTCGTAAACGATGCAGCAGCAGCAGCAGCAACTCTGCTGCTGCTGCTCTTACAGGCTCCGATTGATCATCAAGACACAGCAGCAAGAAGCCGCAGCAAAGAGGCAATCTAAATATGTGCTGCAGCTGGCTAGCACCTAGCTGCTGCAGCTCCTGCAGTTGCTGCTGCTGCTGCATCTCTATTGCTGCTGCTGCAGCCTCCATTGGGGACAACCTCTCCCTACCAGCTCCTCCTGCCGATGCTGCAGCAGAAGCAGCAGCAGCAGCTGCTGCTGCTGCAACCTGACGAGGGGACGCAGCAGCATAACATGCAGCAGACTGCCGCTGCAGCGACACAAAAGGATGGGCAGCAGCAGGAGGGAAAGTGTCCCGCTGCAGAGAAGAGACAGTCTCCTCCTCCTGCAGCACATCAGCAGCAGCAAGCAGCAGCAAGCCACGCAGCGCCCCCACACGCACAGCTATACAGCCGTCAGCTGCAGCAGCAGCAGCAGCAACAGCAGCAGACACAAACACACACACACACACACATACACACAATGTCGCATTAAGGCCCTCACAGAGCAATGCTGCTGTTGCTGCAGCAGCAACTGCAACAGGTGCAGCAGCAACAACTGCAGCGGCTGCTGCTTGGTCAACTTCAGTCTGCTGTTGCTGCTGCTGCTACTTGTGCTGCTGCTGTGAAGGGGCAGCAACAGGGGGAGTTGAGGTGTACGTACAGGTTAGATAGGAGAGGCCAACAGCAGCAACACGCATAAGTGCTTGAGCTCGTTGCCTTAATGAGTGTGCTGCTTCCTGCTGCTGTTGCTGCAGCTGGCGCTGCTTCTGTTGCTGCAGCAGCTGCTTCTGCTGCAGCAGATGATCAGCAGCAGAGTTTAGCTGCGCGGCAACAGCAGCAGCAGCAGACCATAGTCTTGTTGCTGCTAAACGCATGCATGCATCACTATGTGTAGGCAGTGCTGCTGCTAAGAGGTGTACATACACCTCACGTAGCTCCTCTACAAGCTCCGTGCATGCATCTAGATCCACCTGCTGCTGCTGCTGCTGCTGTTGCTGCTGCTGCTTGAATGGCACGATCCGCCGTCTAGCAGCAACAGTTAGTAAGGCAACAAGCTGCCTCAGCACCTCCTGCTGCGCTGCAGTGTTTTGCTGCAGCAGCAACGGCAGCAAATATCTTAATGCATGCACTAACACAACGCATGCACTCCTGCGGCCACGGCTGCTGCTGCTGCTGCTGTCTCTGAGTTCCCGCTGCTTCAGCTGCAGCTGCTGCTGCTGCATTGGCCGCAGCAGCAGCTGCTGCTGATGATGATGATGATGAGGGACGCCTTCTCTGCGTAGGCCCCCAACAGAGGTACCCATAAACACGGGCGCTGTCTGCTGCTGCTGCTGTTGCTGCTGCTGCAAGTGCTGCTGCTGACGAAGATGCCGCTGCTGCTGTTGCCCTACCTGCTGCTGATACTGCTGCTGCACCTGCTGTCCCTGCGGCGGTTGGTATTGGACCTGTTGCTGCTGCTGAAGCTTCTGCTGCTCTTGCAGCTTCTGCTGAAGCAGCAGCTGCTGCTGGTGCTGCACCTGTTGCTGCTGCTGGTGCTTAAGCTGCTGCTGCTGTATCTGTTGCTGGAGAAGCTGCTGCTGGTGCTGGTGCTGCAGTTGCTGCTGCTGCTGCTGAAGCTGCTGCTGCTGCTGCTGCTGCTGAACCTGCTGCTGCTCCTGTCGGCGTTTAAGCAGGCGTTCTCTGCCACTTCCCTGGAGCGCTTGCTGCTGTTTCTGCTGCAACTGCTGTTGCTGCTGCTGCTGTTGCTGTTGCTGCAGCTGTTGCTGTTGCTGCAGCTGCTGTTGTTGCTGCAGCTGCTGTTGTTGCTGCAGCTGCTGTTGTTGCTGCAGCTGCTGTTGTTGCTGCAGGTGCTGGTGCTGCTGCTGTTTCTGTTGCTGCTGCTGTTTCTGTTGCTGCTGCAGCTGCTGTTGCTGCTGCAGCTGCTGCTGCTGTTGCTGCTGCAGCTGCTGCTGCTGTTGCTTTTGCTGCTGGTGCTGCAATTGCTGCTGCAACAAGGGCTGTCTTTCGTTTAACCGCGAAGTGCACTGCCACGGTGGAACGCGGCTGTTGGCTTCCTGCTGCTGCAGTTGCTGCTGCTGCAATTGCTGTTCCTGCTGCAGTTGCTGTTGCTGCTGCAGCTGCTGTTGTTGCTGCAGTTGCTGTTGCTGCTGCAGTTGTTGTTTCTCATGCTGTTGCTGTTGCTGCTGCAGTTGCTGTTTCTGATGCTGTTGCTGTTGCTGCTGCAGCGGCTGTTGCTGCTGCAGTTGTTGTTGCCGTTGCTGCTGCTGTTGCTGCTGCAGCTGCTGCAGCAGCTTCTGCTGCTGTTGCTGTTGCAATGTCTGCTGCAGCTGCAGTTGCTGTTGCAGCTGCAATTGCTGCTGCAGCTGCTGTTGCTGCTGCAGCTGCTGTTGTTGCTGTTGCTGCTGCTGCTGCCTTGTCTGAGGTTCAACAGGTGGATGAAGCCCCGGAGGAACACCAGGATAGGCAAGAGGAGGCTGTTGCTGTTGCTGTTGCTGTTGCTGCACCTGCTGCTGCAGGTGTTGCTGCTTCAACTGCTGCTGCTGCCGCTGCTGCTGCTTCAACTGCTGTTGTTGCAGTTGTTGTTGCTTCAACTGCTGCTGTTGTCGCTGCTGCTGCTGCAACTGCTGGTGCTGCAGCTGTTGCTGTTGCAGCTGTTGCTGTTGCAGCTGTTGCTGTTGCAGCTGTTGCTGTTGCAGCTGTTGTTGCAGCTGTTGTTCCAGCTGTTGTTGCTGCAGCTGCTGCTGCTGCAACTGCTGCAGCTGCAGCTGCTGCAGCTGTTGCTGTTGCTGTTGCAGTTGGTTTTGCAGACCGGGAAGCCCCGGTGGTAGAGGCGGCGCAGTGGTATGCTGTTGCTGCCTCCAGGGCTGTTGCTGCTGCTGCTGATGCTGCTGCTGTTGCTGCTGCGGATGCGGCTGAAGTTGCTGCTGCTGCCATGTCTGTTGCTGCGCTGTCTGTGGGGTTGCGGTCAGTTGCTGCAGTTGGTGCTGCTGCAGTTTATGTTGCTGTAGCTCTTGCTGCGCTCGCTGCTGCTGCTGCCCCCAGGGAGGCTGCCGTTGGGGAGGCTGCTGGTGCTGCTGCTGCTGCCGCGGAGGGGGTGGAGGAGGCAGCTGCTGTGGTGGCTGCTGTTGCTGCTGTAATGCAGCTTGCCACTGCTGAAGGTGCTGGCTCGGCATTTGTTGTCGTTGCTGTTGCAACTGCTGCTGCAGCAGTTGCTGCTGCAGCAGTTGCTGCTGCTGTCGTTCGTTGCCTGCCATGGTAGCAGCAGGTTACCTACCTACAACAGCAGCATCAACAGCAGCAGAGTCTGTAGAGGCCAGCGCCAGGATCTCGAAAGAAGCGCCTTAGGAGCAGCAGCTGCTGCAGCTGCGATTGCTGCTGCTGCTGCTGCTGCTGCTGCCACACAGTTGCACGAGCAGCTGCACATGCAACAATTGCAGCAACAATAACAGCAGCAGCAGTTGCAGCTGCTGCTGCTTGTCTTACCAGCAGCAGGAAGTGTGCTATGCATAGACTCTAATGGGTTAAAATCGAAGCAGGAAGTCCAGAGGGCTTCTGCTGCAGAGCAGCAGCAGCAGCAGCTGCTGCTGCTGCTGCCGCTGCTGCTGCTGCTGCTGCTGGTGTTGCTGTTGCAGCAGCTACAAGATCTTGCGCTAAAGAAAGACTTCTTTGAAATAAAATTTAAAATGCATGCGCAGCTGCTGCCAACACCCCAATGCATGCAAGCAACACTGCTGCTGCCGCCGCCGCTGCTGCTGCTGCTGGATGGTCCTGGGGCCCCCAGCTGTCTCTTGAGCTGCTCGGGGGGGCCCCCCGTGCGCATGCAGCAAAATGGGAGGATTGTTTGAAGAAAGGAAAGAAATAACTCTTTAGCATCCATTTGCTGCTGTTGTTGCTGCAGTCGCTGCTGCTGCTTCGGCGGCAGCAGCAGCAGCAGCAGCAGCTCAACAGCAGCAGCGTTCCCTGTCTCCCTCGCCAACACCAGCCGATCCCTTGGGCCCCTCCTAGCCAGCTGCTGCTTCTGCTGCTGCTGCTGCTGCAGGAAAATTACAACAACAGTAACAGCATGCTGCAGCAGCAGCTGCTGCTGCTGCTGCAGTAGAAGCCCGCTCCTTCCTTCCTTTCTACCTTCAGGGTCACTTGGGGATAACATGCTAAACACTAAACCCTAGACCCTAAACCCTAAACCCTATAGACTAAATACTAAACCCTAAACCCTAAACACTAAACATTAAACTCTAGACCCTAAACCCTAGAACATTTACCTCTAAACCCTAACCCTAAACCCTAATCCGTATACACTCAACCCTACACATTAAACACTAAATCCTAAACCCTAAACCCTAAACCCCAAACAATTGTCTGCACACCTCAAAGATCTATGACGGTGGAGTGTACAGACACTGTACCTTCAAAGCCAGTGGATGCTGCTGCAGCAGCAGCAGCAACAGCAGCAGCAGCAGGAACAGCAACAGCAGCAGCAACAGCAGCAGCACAATCTGTCTTCTCGTCTTCGCTGCCTCTCCCATCCTACGGAGGTGTCTGAGCATGGGGAACTTGCTGCTGCTGCTGCTGCTGCTGCGGTTGCAGCAGCAGTTGCAGCAGCCGCTGGAACAGCAGCTGCAGCAGCGTTTCCTGGTGCACCGGCTTTTTAGGGTTTTTTTGTTCAAGATGCCGTTGCTGCTGCAGCACCTGCTGCTGCTGCTGCTGCTGCTTCTTGTTGCTGCAGCAGAGCCTATAAATAGGCCTTATCTGCTGCATGCATTTGATGATAAATCCCTTGTATGGTCACCAGAGCAGCAGGAAACAGGCAAGCTTCCTTTGCTCCTACTGCTGCTGTTGCTGCTGCTGCTGCGTTTGCTGCTTCTGGATTCGTGCTGCCTTGCAGTGTTGCTGCTGTTGCTGCTATACCTGCTATTATTGCTCTTGTTGCTTTTGCTGTTGCTGCTGCTGCTGCTGCTGTTGCTTTTACTGTCATTGTAACTGCCTTGGCTGTCATTCCGTTGCCTCTGCTGCTGTTGCTGCTGCTGTTGCTGCTGCTGTTGCTGCTGCTGTTGCTGCTGTTGCTGCTGCTGCTGCAGAAGAAGAAGAAGAGGATGAATCAGGATGTTTATGGAGGGGAATACGTTTAGGTGTTGGGCAAACTTTTGCTGCTGTCCCTTTTGCTGCTGCTTCTGCTGCTGCATGCCGCTCTTTATGTCGTGCTGCTGCTCCCCGCTGCAGTCACTTCCTCCTCGTTACAAACAAACTATTTCCTCCAAACCTGCAGGTAACGGTCACGCTGCTGCTGCTGCTACTGTTGCTGTTGCTGCTGCTACTGTTCCTGTTCCTGTTGCTGCTGCTGTTGCTGCTGTTGCTGTTGTTGTTGCTGTTGTTGCTGCTAGTGCTGCAGCAGCTGAATGCTTGCTTCTTCTTCCTGCCTTTCTTTCATTGCTTTGTGGCCGAGAGGCCCTCACCTGCTTGTGAGTTACGTTGCTGCTGCTGGCTCTCCTGCTGCTGCTGTTGCTGCTGCTGCTGTTGTTGCTGCTGCTGTTGATGCAGACGTCCTGCCACCTGCTGCAGTCTGCCTCTCCTGCGCTACCGGTCTCCAAAGAGCAGCGGCACTTGCTGCTGTTTGTTGGGGGCCCCCTCAATTGTGCTCTGGGGGAGGAGGTGCCTGCTCCCCCGCTGCCGCTGCCTGAAGACACCTGTAAGTCTGCTGCTGCTGCTGCTGCTGCTGCTGCTGCTGCTGCTGCTGCTGCTGCTGCTGCTGCAGCTGCTTCCGTTGCTGCATTTGCTGCTGAAGTGCCGCTAGATTCTCTTTGTGGACAAAACGTGGGCCAAGGATGTTAAAGCCAACACACGTCCAGTGGGAACAATGATTGCTGCTGCTGCTTTTCCTGTTGCTGCTGCTGTTTTTCCTGCTGCTGCTGTTGCGGCGGTGCATGCAGGCGCCAGCAGCCATTTGTGCGATATTGCTAGCCACTTTGGAGTTGGTGGTAGCCGGTATGACCCTTTCTGCTTGCCCAAAAGCAGCGACAGCAGCAGCAGCAACAGCAGCAGCAGCAGCAGCAGCAGAGAGGTGCTGCAGCAAGAGACCCCAGCATTAGAAGAAGATCGTCGCTTCTTTTGCTCACGAAGGCTCAGCGACATCCCTTGCTGCACACGTTGCGGTGATGCAGACTATAACCCATGCGCAGGTCTATTTGCTGCTGCTGCTGCTGTTGTTGTTGCTGCTGCTCCTGTTGGTGCTGCTGCTGCCGTTGCTGTTGTTGCTGTTGGTACTGTTTTTGTCGGAGAATTGTCACAAGACGGCCTTCAATGGACGGTTGCTGCAATATATAACGGAGGATAAGTTGTTGCTGCTGTTGCTGCTGCTGCTACTGTTGCTGCTGCTGCTGCTACTGTTGCTGCAGAAGAGGCGTGTGGCAGCTCTGGTGTAGACTATCCTGGTGGTGTGGAGGTGGGGTTTGTTGCGCAAGGTGTTCCCTCTGCTGCTGCGTGTCGTCGTCTGTGTCTTGCTACTGCTGCTGCTGCTGCTGCTGCTGCTGCCTCTGATGCATCCGATGCTTCTACTCCCGTTGCTGCTACTGCTGCTGGCTGCACCCACTACTTTTACTACTCCTCCAACCTCCTTGCGGAGGCAATCCGCGGCAGCTGCAGCCTAAGGCGCTATCCGCAACTGACAGAGCAGCAGCTGCAGCAGCAGCTGCAGCAGATTCACGAGCAAAGGCAGAAAGAAAGAGAAATGCAAAGAAAGAAAAGGCAACTTAAGAAGGAGGCAAAAAGGCAGAAAAGAATGAGGGAGCTACAGCAGCAGCAGCAGCAACAGAAGGAGCAGCAGCAACAGAAGCAGCACCAGCACCAGAAGAAGCAGCAGAAACAGAAGCATGAACAGCAACAGCAGGACAAACAGCACCAACAGGATCAGCACCAAGAGAAGCTGCACAAGCAGAACAAACGCCAGGAGAAGCAGCAACAGCACAAGTACATCCAGTCAGAGCTTGAGGGGCAGCAACTGCAGCATAAACCTCAGCAGCACCCTAAACAGCAACCACAGCAGCTGCTGCGGGGGCAGCCGCAGCAACAGCCGCAGCACCACCTGGAGAAAGAGGAGAGGGATAAGCAAGAGACTGCTGGTTTACAGAACCAACAAAAAACACGACAGCAACCGCAGCAATGGGAACAAAAACCACAGCAGCAACAGCAGCAGAAGCAGCAGAAGCAGCAGCAGCAGCAGCAGCAGCAGCAGCGGAGGCTATCGGTGGCATCGGTCAAAAAGAAGAAATTCCAAAGCAAAGCATTACACGAAACAGACAAAAAGAAGGCAATAGCAGCAGCGGCAACAGCAGCAGCAGCATTAGCAGCAGCAGCAGCAGCAGCATTGTCGTTAAGGAATGAGGAGGGGTCAGCAGAGCAGGGCGACGAGTCGACTGTAGAGACAGCGGGAGACGCAGCTACAGCAGCAGCAGCAGCAGCAGCAGCAGCAGTTCCTGCTGCTGCTGAAGATGATGATACAGCAGAAAGCGACAGCATAAGAGAGGATGAATCAACTGATGAAGAAGAAGAAGAGGAGACAAAAAAGGAGACAAAAAAGGAGACCAAAGAGGAGACCAAAAAGGGGACAAAAAAGGGGAAAAGAAAAAAGGAGACAAAAAAGGAGACAGAAGATGATATGCCAACTCTGCTGCCAGGGGCACCACATGCCTTCCCTATATACCAGCAGCAGCAACAGCAGCAACGGCAGCAGGATGAGGAGGAAGAGGCGGAGGGAGAACAGCAAGAAGAGAAGCAACAGCAGCAGCAGCAGCAGCAGGCAGAGGAGCAGCAGAAGGAACACTATGCGGAGCGGCAGGAGAAGCAGCGGAAGGAGCAGCAGCAGCACCAGCAGCAGGGGCCTCACGAGAAGGAAGAACAGGAGGAGGAGGAGGACCAGCAGCAGCAACAGTATCAGCAGCAGCAGCAGCACGAGGAGGAGGAACAGCAGAAGGAGGAGGAGGAGGAGCAGGAGCAGCACGAAGAGGATGATGGGGATGAGGATGATGATGACGATGATGATGATGATGATGATGATGATGAGGAGGAGGAGGAGGAGGAAGAAGAGCAGCAGCAGGAGCAGCAGCAGCAGCAGCAGGAAGTGACTAAATTATCTGTATGGCATTTTGGTGCTGCTGCATGCGGTGTAGCAGGTACAAATCGTACATCCCCAGTAACGTTATTATCTGCTGCTGCTGCTGCTGTTGTTGCTGCTGCACCATTAAGCAGCAATTATTGTGAATTAAAGGAGACAGATTATTATGGTCATGATTTATGCAGATTAGCAGCAAATAATTCTTTTTTTTGTCAGCAGCAATGCAAGGAGACAGAGGCATGCATAGGATATACTTTCTTACCTAGACAAAGAATTTGTCTCCTTAAATGGTTGCTGCTGCCTAGGTTTATTAATAATCTATTTGTTAGTGGACCTAGGTGTTGCCCCCTACCACCTCAGCAGCAGCAGCAGCAGCAGCAGCAGCAGCAGGGTGAGCAACAGCAAGAGCAGCAGCAGCTGGGTGATGGAGCTGCGGTAGAGACAGGAGAGGGAGATTTGCAAGAAGCAGCAAAGACACCAACAGATGCTGCTGCTGCAGTTACAGCAGCAGCAGCAGCAGCAGGAGCTGCTTCGGAGCAGAGCACAATCACCAGCAGCACCAGCAGAAGCAGGGAGGAGGAGGAAGAGATGCATGATTGTCCTACTGCTCGTGCCCCTTTATGTTTATGGCCAGGTAAGGCATTAATAGATTATAACTTAGGGGAACTAATAGAAGACAGCAGCAGCGCCAGCAGCTGCGAGTCCCGCTGCAGCAGCAACATACATTGTGCTGCTTGGGTATATAGAGGGTCTCCTCATCATACTTGTCAGCTAAAACAGTTGCCGACTGCAGCAACAGCTGCAGCCGCCGCCGCCGCAGCAGCAGCAGCTTCAGCTGATCCTGCTGATGCTACTGGTGTTGCTACTGGTGATGGTGGTGGTGCTGCTGCTGCTGCTGAGTTATTACTGAAGGAGACAGCTGTTGCTCGTCTGTTAAGGAGACAGAAGGCAAGAGAGGAGACAGAGAGACAATTTATGCTTGTCCCCTTTGCTCATGCAATCACGGGGCTGGCAGATTGTCCTATTAAAGGAGACCCTTCAAGGGTATCTAAGCATCGCATGCATGCGCTGCTGCTGCTGCAGCGAAAGCAGCAGCAGCAGCATATACGCATGCAAAGAAAAGCAGCAAGAGCTAAGGAAAGAGAAGACAGATTCAATGAACGAAGACAACATAGACTTAATACAAGACTACGCAAAGGAAAGCACCAGCAGCAACAGCAGCAGCAGCAGAAAGAGGAACAGCAACAACTAATGGAGGAGCAAGAGCAGCAACCGCAGCAGCAACAGAAGCAGCAGGCGCGAGAACGGCAGCGGCACCAGCATAAATATACAACACCTCGAGTCTACCCACAGTGGCTGCAGCAGAGAAGAGTGGGGGAGCAGCAGCAGCAGAAGCAGCAGAAGCAGGAGCAGCAGAAGCAGGAGAAGCAGCAACAGCAGGAACAGCAGCAGCAAAAGCAGCAGCCAGAACAGGAAGAGCATCGGCAGCAGGAGGAACAGTAGCAGCCGCAGCAGTAGCAGCAGTAGCAGCAACTCTCCAGCTGTGCGCAGCGGCTCAATGCATATGTGTTATCTCTGCCTTTGCTGCTGAGAGCTAGCAAACAAGCCTGCTGCTGCCGTCCTTACTGTTATTGCAGCTTTAGCAGCAGCAGATGCAGCAGCAGAAGCAGCAGCAGCAGCTATTCAGACGCCTGGAGAAGCAGGCTTTAGCGCTGCTGCTGTATTCGTCTCTACCAGCAGCAGCAGCAGCAGCGGACGCAGCAGCAACGATAACAATTGTATCCACACAGTAGTAGAAGGGTTCGCTAGAGCAACAGACATCACTGCTGCAGCAGTAGCCACCGCTACTGCAGCAGCACCCAGTCTTGCTGCAGCAGCAATAGGCAGTGCTGCAGCACAGATTCACCATATAATGATGCGCTGCAGTCAATACTGCGTGCTGGTGATGTGCTGCTGCAGCAGCTGTAGCTGTGTAGCCGGAACAACAGCAGCACCCGCAACATGAGCAACACCAGCAGCAGAAGCAGCACAAGCAACAACACCAGGAGCAACACGAGCAGCAACACGAGCAGCAACACCAGCAGACGCAGCAACAGCGCCGACTACGCCTCCGGCTACAACAGTCGCGTTTGTTGCAGCTGCTGCCTGTGTTGCAGTTAATCTATTTTATTTAATTAAAATAATAATAATTAAGTAAATTTAACTTAATTATATTTAAAAATAAAATAAATATAGGCAATTTTATCCTCTTTCCTTCCTTACCGCCAGCCCCAGTTGCCCAATGCCGCTGCCGACACATGCAATGGAAGCTGCAGTTGCCGCTGAAACAGCAGCAGCAGCAGCAACACACCAGCAGCAGAATCCCGTCATATATTGCTGCTGCTGCTGCTAGCAGCAAACTATAGTAAAGACGAGGAGAGCCACAAGAACAACAAAGCTCTAACGGTCTGCCCTGAGGGCCCCCCATAACAGCAGCCCCTTGGCTGCTGCTGCGGCGGCTCTTGTTGTTGTTGTTCTTGTTGTTGCTACTGTTGCTGTCGTTACAACATCGGAAGCAGCAGTCTGATGAGCCAGATGAAGCAGCGGCAGCGCAACATGCCGCAGGAGCGGCACAGCAGCAATCCAGCTGCTGCAGCAACTGCAGCAGCAGCAACGGCAGCCCAGGTAGAGGGAAGGAGAACAAGCCCCACGGAATCTTCTGAGGAGGTGGCAAGCAGCAGCAGCAGCAGCAGCAGCGACAACAGCAGCAGAAGCACGGGGTTAATTGAAATATGCCGCAGCGCATGGTGTACATACACCGCAAAATATCCGCAGCAAATAAAGCTGCTTGATAGTTTTATCGTTGGTTTGCTGCTGCTGCTGCTGCTCGTGCTGCTGCTGCCGCTGGTGTCAGGGACAGCCTTCCCTAAGCATGCATTTGTTGCTGCTGTATTCTCCTGCTGCGGCACAGCAGCACTCACTGGTTGTCTACGTGCACAGGTACGTTTGCTGCTACTTCTGCTGCTGCTGCTGCACTTGCTGCTCTTCCTTAACCTTCGTGCTGGTTGTAAGATTTTCTGAGGCTGCCGCTGCTGTTGCTGCTGTGGCTGTTGCTGCTGCTGCTGCAGCTCGTTAGTCCGGAGACATTCGCGGTGAGCAAGCAACGGGCAATGGCGGATTTCTTCCTTTGCTGCCTCGTGCTGCAGATCCTCTGCTTCTTGCTACTATGATAGCGGCAGCAGCAGACGCAGCATATTGTCCCTACTGGAGACTTCAGCAGCAGCACCGCATGCTGCAGCAGCTGCTGCTGTTGCTGCTGTTGCTTCTCGTTGCAAATTAACGCCTACGCTTATTTGTGTCGGTGCTGCAGTAGTGCAGCAGCAACAGCAGCAGCACAGCAGCTGCAGCTCCTGTACCTATACCACTGGTTCTTTTCTAGCTACTGCAACGTTCCCTGCTAGCGCAGCAGCAGCAGCAGCAGCTGCTGCTGCTGCTGCTAGCGGCGGAGGCTCCATACAACCTCAAATTCTTTTTGATTAATTGAGTTTGCTGCTCTTGCCAGTGTGTCTGTAGTTGCTTCAGTTGCTGGTGCTGCTGCTGCTTCTGCAGCAGCAACCGCGCAGCTACGAGCTGCTTCTGCACCAGCAGCAGCTACTACGGCTGCTTTTGCAGCAGCAGCAGCAGCAGCAGTTGCTGCTGCTGCTGCTGCAGGGTGTTGTATCAATTGTTATTGTGGGCCATTCTTTCTGAAGGCCACCATCCGGTTGCTGTCCGTGCAGCTAGCTGTACACCTAGCTAGCTAGCTACCTATGTAGTTACACAGCTAGCTAGCTAGCTACGTGGCTAGCTGGCTAGCTGCATAGCTAGCTCGACAGCAAGCTAGCTAGCCACATGATTAGCTAGCTAGCTAGTTGCATAGCTAGCTAGCTTGATAAATATATGGGTATTGGCAATTCAGCGGTACGCAGCAGCTGACCTGCTGCGGGAGTGCTCAAAACTCCGCCTGCTGCTGCTGCTGCTGTTGCTGCGGCTGCAGTAGCGGGAGTGGCGGGGGGACCGGTGCTGAGCAGCAGCAGCAGCAGCTGCTGCTGCTGGAGGAGGACAATCATATGCATGCATGTAGCGGCCTCTGTTAGGCGGAGAATGATTACGGAAGTCCCTCTCCGATACTCTGCGATATCGTGCTGCTGCTGCTGCTGCTTCTTCTGCTGCTTCTGCAGCAGGGGAATCTCTATAAGCAGCAGCAGGATACGGGTAGCGACGGCTGCTGCGGTGCTCCCATTGCTCCTCTCGTGAATGCATGCGACCCCGCTGATGCTGCTGCTGCTGCATGCGGTAGCCCATGTTGCTGCTGCTGTGTTCAGGGGAAGGAACATGAAAGTGGTGGGGAGGTGACGGCCTGGATCTGCGGGAGTCGTGCTGCTGCTGCTGCAGGTGCTGCTGCTGCAGGTGCTGCTGCTGCAGGTGCTGCTGCTGCTGCTGCTGCTGCTGCTGCTGCTGCTGCTGCAGTTCGTGTTCCTGGTGCCGAGGCCACCGCTGCCGCTGCTGATAGTCGTAAAAGCGCTCCTCGCTGCGCTCCTGTCGATGGTGCTGCTGCCGGTGCCGCTGCTGCTGCTGCTGCTGCGGCTGCTGCGGCTGCTGCTGGCTGCGCCAGCTGTCTCTATATTGGCTTGGGGGTCTGCTGCTGAAAGGAGACACTGAGCGGCTGTCAGGCAGCACTACTCTGCTGCTGTAGCGATCCTCTTCTTCGTGTCTCCAATGCTGCTGCTGCTGCTGCTGCTGTCTCTCATATGTCCCCCGTGGCTGCTGCTGATGACGATACTCCTGCAGATGCGGCTGCTGCAGCTGCTGCTGCTGCATGTGCTGCTGCTGCATGTGCTGCTGCTGCATCTGGCGGTAGTCACCTGCTGCATCTTCACGCCATTCGGGGCTGCGGAGGCGCTGCTGCTGATGCTGTTGCTGCTGCTGCTGGTGCTGCTGATACCTCTGCTGCTGATGCCGCTGCTGATAATGCCGCTGCTCCTGATGCTGCTGCTGGCTCTGCAGCTGCTGCTCGTGCTGCAGCTGCTGCTGCTCTTCTTGCCAGGGGCGGTAACTGGAGTGGTGATAACGGGACCTTGGCTGTATTAGCATTTGCTGTTCTCCCCTCTGCTGCTGCTGCTGCAGTCGCCGCTGCTGTTGCTCGGGTGCCTCGCAAGGGTCGTCCTGCCTCTGGTAGTCTCGCCGTGCATGGTATCTTTCTTGCTGCTGCTTGTCGTGCTGTTGCTGCCGCTGCTGTTTCTGCACCTGCTGTGGCAGCTGCTTCCTCTGTCCGTCATGCTGCAGCTGCTGCTCGCTGCAGCAGCTGCTGCGGGTTGAGCTTAAGACGACGCTGCCGCCAGACCTCGAGCTCTGCTGCAGCTGCTGCTGTTGATGCAGGTGCTGCATCTGCCCTCGCTTGCTAGCATCATCTGAGTATTCCTGCTGCTTATGATCGAACTGCCGTGGCTGCTGCTGCTGCTGCTTATGCTGCTGCTGCCTCTCGATGCGTGGCGCAGCGCTTATCGGTGAATCCGCCCATCCTCGCATGCGCTGCTGTGGTACCTCCCTCGGCTGCTGCTGCTGCTTTTGTTGTTGCTGCTGCTGCTCCTGCAGCCGCTGCTGCCGGGGCGGTGAGGTTTGCGCAGAGTGCCTGCTGCTGTAGTCACGAGTTGCTGCTGCGGCCCCTGATGTCTTGGCTTCCTGCTGCTGCTCCTGGTGCTTCTGGTTCTGTTGCTGCTCGTGCTCCTGCTGCGTATTCCCCTTGGTGCGTTGCTGCTGCCTCCAAGAGGCAAAGGGGGAGGACGAGTACACGAGGCAGGGGTTGCTAGCAGCAGCAGCAGCAGGACCAGGAGAAGCTGCAGCAACAGCAGCAGTAGGGGCTGCTGCACGAGGAGCTAGGAGTACGGGGGGATGTGGCATGTGTGAGGAAAGAGAAGACCCGAGCACATTTGCTGGGGGGGCAGCAGCAGCAGCAGCTGCTGCTGCTTCTGCTGCAACAGGGACAGGAGCAGCAGCAGCTTGTCCTGCTGCTCCTGATGCACTGCGAGGCAGCAACCGAACGACATGCTTCTCGCTGCTGCTGGATTTTCTTAAGACAGCAGCAAGAACCCCCACACGTGTCTCCGACGGACCTGAGCAGCAACAGCAGCAACAGCAGCAGCAGCAACAGCAGCACACAGTTGCAATGTTTCTGAAGATGTGTCTGTCTGGCAATTAATTTGTGGCAGCATCTGTGCCTTATTCTTCTGCTGCTGCATGCTTCCGCTGCAGCAGCAGCAGCTTGCTGCAGCAGCTTGCTGCAGCAGCAGCAGCTGCTGCTGCTGCTTCCAGCTTTGTCGCACCTGTTAAATTGGACGTCTTTAGAGTTGTTGCAGAGGAATTGCTTTCCTTCTGCATGCCAGGCTGCTGCTGCTGCTGCTGCTGCTGCTGCTGCTTCTGCTGCAGCTCTTGGCTGGTGTGTGGCGCCGCAGATAAGACAGCGCGTCTTTCCGAGGCGGCGATGATCTTGATACTTCCTGGGTTGCTGCTGCTGCTGTTGCTGCTGTTGCTGTTGCTGTTGCTGCTGCTGCTGTTGCTGCTGCATCTTTGTTGTTTGGGGCTCCTCTCGGACAGCTCCCAGGCCTCCGAAGCAGCAGCTGCAGCAAACCAGACAGAAAAGACTGAAGGATTGCTGCAGCAAAAGCAGCAGCAGCAGCAGCAGCAGCAGCAGCAGCAGCAGCAGCAAGAAACACTCACACAAGCAGCACGCCACAGCAGCAGCATGAATTAGCAACAACGGCAAGCAGCAGCAGCACAAAGCAACAGCAGCAACGCCGCCACCCAGAGGAACGAGCAACAAAAGCAACAACAGCAGCAGCAACAGGAGCTAACCGTCTCCATGTGGCCTTTTGCTGCTGTGGGGGATCTCCTCCTGCTGCTGCTGCTCCAAGGAGTCGCTTCTTGCCCTCAGCAGCACCCTCGGATGTCTTCTCTCCTGCAGCACAACTGTTACCTGTCTCCCCAAATGCTGCTGCTGCTGCTGCTGCTGCTGCCGTTGCAGCAGCGGCACCGGCAGCGGCAGCAGCGGCGGCTGCTGCCTCGGCTGCAGCAGCACACGAGGGCGGGGGCCTTCCGGTGGCCAACCTGCCCTAGGATGAGGGTTTAGCTGCACAGGACGAGGTGTCCGCTGCTGGTGCTGTTGCTGTTGCTGCTGCTGTTTGTCAGGAGAGTCCTGCTGCTGCATCTGCTGCAGACGATGGTGCATAAAGGCCGCATGCAGAGACACCCGAGAGGCCTCCCATGAACTATCTCGTGGCCCCTCACGAGGGCGCAGCAAGACATGCTGCTGCTGCTGCTGCTGCTCACGGTAGCTGTTGAGAGAGAGGCGTCTGCTGCTGCAGTGGTCTCTGTCTCTTGGAGCCGTGGCAGAGTCGCCACCGTTGCTGCTGCTGCTGCTGTTGCTGCTTCTGCTGCTGCTGTTGCTGCTGCTTCGGTGTCCGCCCCTGTTGCTGTTGTAGGGAGTATTGCTGCTGCTGCCACCGCTGCTGCTGTGATGCCTATGTGGCTGTGAGTTAGGAGGGTGCGGGGGTCGAGGGAGTAGTGGGGGCCTCTCTGCTGTGTGAGGGTAGAGGTGGCATTGGCCCACCGGTACTGCAGCAGCAGCTGCAGCAGCTGCTGCTGCTGCAGTTGCTGATGCTGCTGCTGCTGGATCTACCCCTCGGGTGGTCTCATCGCTTGCATGCCTGTATGGTGAGTGGTGCCACCGACCGGACATGTTGCTGCAGATGCTGCAGCGGCTAATGCCGCTGCGTCTGCTACTGCTGCTGCTGCTATTGCTGCTGTTGTTGCTGTTGCTGCTGTTGCGGGGTCACTGGTAATCCCCTTGCCGGCCCGGTTTGTAAGGGAGGGGCCTATAGGCCGACAGCAGTAGCAGAAGCAGGACAAGTTAACCATGAATTTGCTGCAGCAGGTTTTCAGTGCTATGTTTCAATAGCGGTAACTGTTGCTGCTACTGCTGCTGCTACTACTACTACTACTGCTGCTGCTGCTGCTGCTGCCGGTGGTGCTGCAGCAGCCGCAGGGATGTCTCAGCAACTCCAAAGGGCTAATGGAGCTGCAGCATCAAACAACAGATCTGCTGTACATACACTCAAAAGTTTACCCCACAATGAGTCTTTGCTGCTCTCTGCTGCTACACCAGTACGGCACGAGCCTGCGGCGACAGGAGCAGCCGCCGCAGCTGCTGCTCCTGCTGCTGCAGGGGCTGCATGCAACAGCAGCCGCAGCAGCAGCAGGTCGAGCACAAAGCCCATCTCCTTCCAGGAGGACATCGCTAACACCTTCTTGCACTTCTCATCATGCTCTTTAGCTCCCTTGTCTGAGTCTGCCTGTGTTCTGCTGCTGTTGCAGTTGCTGCAGCAGCAGCAGCAACAGCAGCAGAACACAAACTGCAGCAGCAGCGGGACATAGATCTCGGTGTGGTGTTATTGGCAGCCTAGAGGCTCCTTGTGGTTTAGGTGTGGGCGCCTCAGCGCCAGCAGCAGCAGCAGCTGCAGCTGCAGCTGCTGCGTCCGCAGCAGCAGCAGCAGCTGCTGCTGCAGCAACTGTAGTAGCTGCATTAATTGAGATATTCCGAGGTGCTTATATAAGCCTGCTGCTAATGCTTTGCTGCGAATGTCGCTGCTGCTGTTGCTGTCTTGTTGCTGCCGTTGCTGGCTTGCTGGTACTTGTGTTCATTCGAATGCTGCTGCCTTTTGTCGCGTTTGTTGCTGCAGTGAGTGCTTGGAGTGCTCCTGCTTCTGCTGCTGCTGCTAAGCTAGATTGTACAGGTGTTTTCTCTGCGCTGCAGCTAGACAACGTGTAGTAAAGTTAGCGGTGGCGGCACCCCTTTGCTGTTGCTGCTGCTGCTGCTGTCATAGTCTTTTGAGCATCCAGGGCTGCGGCAGGAGCATCAGCTGTTGCTGCTGCTGCAGGACGGCATGCTGTACAGCGGCTCCCCTGCCTTCGGGCCTGCCCAGGCTGGCAGGTGCGACAGCAACAAAGAAGCAACAATAGCAGCAGCAGCACGAGCAGCAGAGGCAGTTGCACCGGCAGCTCCTGCTGCAGCACTAGCACCAACACAATCCGCCCCAGCACCCGCAATATCACAAAGAGCAGCAGCAGCAACAACAACAACTACAGCAGCACCAGCAACAGCAGCAGCAACACCATTAACAGCACCAGCAGCAGGAACAGCAGCAACAGCAACGGCAGCAGCAACAACAGCAGCTGCAACAAGTGCTGTTTTTTATGAATGTGTTTGCAGCCTGAAGGTCTGTTGGAGTTGCCACGTGGGTGTGCCCTGTGGGGATCCTGTTGGTGGAGCAGCAGCAGCAGCAACAACAACAACAACAGCAGGAGCAACAGCAACAGCAACAGCATCATGGAGAGCTGTATCTGCAGACTTTGCTGCTGATGGTTCTTTGCTGCTGCTTGCTGCAGTTGGTGGTGTTGATGGGACCTCAGGGAAGCTGCTGGTAGTAGACCTTAAGACCGCATGGTGAGGGATTGCTGCTGCTGCTGCTGCTGTTGCTGTTGGTGTTGCAGCAAGGAGGCAGCATATAAGCAAGACAACAGCAGCAGCATCTGCATCAGAGTTTGCTGCTGCGCTGCTGCTGGTGTTCCCCTTGAACCTCGACTACGTGCACACCTGGTCTAACACCTGCTGCTGCTGCTCCTCCTGGTGCTGCAGCGTGTCCCGGGTGTACGATTGCCCCGAAGGTGGCGTCTCTTGCGCACTCTTTGTTGCCTTGTCAACAGCAGAATGTCTTATTGGAGGTGCTGAAGCAGATGGTGGGTTTTGCTGCTGCCGCTGCTGCTGCTGCTGATGCTGCTGTTTTTGTTGCTGCTGCTGCTGTTGCTTCTGGTGCTGCTGACACACCGGTTGCCTGATGATAAGCGCATAAGGACAGCAGCAGCAGCAACAGCAGAAAAAAAGTAGCGCAGCAACAACAGCAACAGTTGCTGCCGCCACTGCCTGTGCTGATCACTGCTTCTGTTGCTGCTGCTGCTGCGCATGCCTCAGCTTGTGTGCGTCAGTGGGACTTGAACAGCAACACACTCGTTTGCGCCTATCCTTTGCCTGCCCCGTAAGCAGATGCAGCTGCAGCAGCAACAACAGCAATAGCAGCAGCATTAGACAAGCAAACGGTCGCAGCAGCAGACACGAGAGAGCAGCCAGTGCAACAGCAGCAATCTAGGAGAAGGAGAGAGAGGAGCTCCTCATATAAGGAAAAATGTTGCTGCTTTTGCTGTTATTTCTGCTGCTTCTGTTGCTGCTGCTGCTGCTGCTGCTGCTGCAGTCTAATAGGATGTGACGGTTTAACTGCCCATCCTCGTCAACGTCTCTTTCTTGCTAGCTGCAGCAACGGGATGGTCTTGCTGTTTGATTTAAAGCAGACGCAGCCTTTGGTAAGAGACGTGCTGTTGCTTCTGCTGTTGCTGCTGCTGTTGATGCTGCCTGTTGTGTCAGTGCCATATGCCCTACTATCCTACGACTGCGCCTAGTGCTGTTGTTGCTGTTGCCTTGCTTGTTTCTGCCGGGAAAGTTTAGGGTTTAGGGTTTAGGGTTTAGGGTTTGTTGCATGCAGGCTTGCATGCACTGCAGCAACCCTCGACCAGCGATTGCCTTTGACTTTGAAGGTCTTGTCTTTGCTGTTGCTCGTTCTTCTACTCACGTCCATCTTGTTAATAGCGAGCTTACAGATCTGGTTAGCTGCTGCTGCTGTTGCTGTTGCTGTTGCTGTTGCTGTTGCTGTTGCTGCTTGGGAGAATGGAGGTGCTGCGGACTGTGGGCTGTTGGGCGTCTCCTTAAGGACAGCAGCAGGAGCTGTTGGTGTTGGGTTGTTGCCGCTGTTGCTAGCAGCATCAAGAACAGCAGCAGCAGCAGCAAGGCTTATCTCTTGATGTGGTGCATCTGTTGCTGCTGTTGCGTGTTTCCTGCTGCAGCAGGAATTTTCTGCCTTCGACCTGTCCGATTCTCTGGGGCCCGGTACCTCTATTGTTGTGAGTAGGCACACAAGCTGCTGCTCCAGCAGCAGCAACAGCAGCAGCTCCTTATATGAGGAGTCGATTCTGTTTGGTTTGTTGCTTGTGCTGCAAGGGATTAGTGTAGTTGTTTGCTGCCGCAGTTACTGCAGCAGTTAATGCAGCAGTTAATGCAGTAGTTACTGCAACGCTTAATGCAGCACTTACCGCAGCACTTACTGCAGCGGCTGCTGTTAATTGCATGCGTTGGGTTGTGTGTGTAGGGTTTATGTTTTAGCCCTAATGGGGATGTGATTGCTGCATGCACAGACAGCCAACTGCTGCTGCTGCTAAATGCCTTCGAGGGAACAGTTGTAGGTCTTTGCTGCTGCTGCTGTCTCCTTATACGCATGAAGGAGATAGCTGCAGGAGACACAGACACCACAGTTTCCCGCCCTCGCTGGCAATTGCTACGTTAGCTAGCTAGCTAGCTAGCTAGCTAGGGTGGCTATGACCAGCGTAGAAGGGAAACTGCAGCAGCAGCAATAGCATCAGCAGCACGGGCGTCAAGGCCTTGCAGCAACCGCCGACACTCTTTCCCCTGCTGCTACATCTGCTTCGTCTGCTGCTGCTTCTGGTTCTGGTGCTGCTGCTGCAGATGGCTCGTTTAAGTGGCGCATCAGGGGGCAACGCTCCCTGTGTTGTTAATTGCTGCCCCACATTCTCTGTCAACAGTTTGCTGCTCTTTTGGTCTCGGGGTAATTTTATTACTGTCTTTAAAGTTCCCTCCCCTGCAGACACCAACGCCAAGAAGCAGCAGCAACAGCAGCAGGATGAGCAGCAAGGGGGGCAGTTGGAGGAAGCAGATCTGCTCGTTGCAAGACATCGGGGACATGCAGAACCTGTCGTCATCGTCAAGGCATCTCCTGCACACAGTCTTCTCCTCACAGGTACTACTACTACACACGGCTAGCTAGCTATCCAGCTAGCTTGCTCTCGTACAGACAGGCTATACTGTGTGCAGCTGCCTTGACTGTCTAATAATCAATCTAGCTAGCTAACACAGTGCAGCCTGCTCCCATAAGAGCAAACAACGAGGGGGTGGCAGCTATGGGATAACGAATGTGTGCACAGAGTAGAAGCAGCAGCAGCGCCTTTTGTCTCTTTCTTATCAGTAGCAAATATATTCTGCTGCTGTTGATTGTGCTGCTGTGTTGCAGTTGCTGGGGGAGTTGTGGCCCTGTGGCAACCGATGTCGCAGGTATAGACAACCACAGCAGCGGCAATAGCTGCTGCTGCTGCAGTAGTAGTTGTTGTTATACTAGGAGCGTAGCAGCAGGAGCAGCTCGAGCTGTTGCTGCTGCTGCTGTCGCCAGTAGCTGCCGCAGCACTTTATTTCATCTAAGCGGCGTTTTCTTTGTTCTGTTTTTGGAGTTTGTTGTTTAAACAATGACATTTGATGTATTAACCTTCAGCTTTTGTTCTTTACTTGACTTACTGCTGCTGCTGCTGCTGCTGCTGCTGCTGCTGCTGCTCTTCAGCAGCAGCACCGCAGCTGCACGAGCCTTAGGTGCATCGTGTTGGCACATCTTTGCCTGGAGTTTTAAGGTCTGCATTTCAGGATTTAGGGTTTTAGGGTTTAGAGTTTAGGGTTTAGGGCTTGTCTACTTTCTACTCTTGCGGCGTAGATAACGGTTCTGCTACCAACCCTACTGTAGCAGCTGCTGCTGCTGCTGCAGCGGTCAGTGCAGCAGCTACTGCTGCTGTCGTGACGCGTGAGCCCCCCTGGAGGGCGTTTCCATGTTTTGCGGCCCCTCACGTTCATAGGCAACCCCACTAGGTGGCCCCTGTAGGGGGCGCGAATTTATTGATATAAGCTGTGCTTTGTGAAATGCCCCATAGCCTATGCACATCAGTAAGGTGTGGAAACCCTAGTGTTTATAGGGTTAAGGGTTCAGGGTTACTTGCTCGGGGGCTGCTGCTCCTGCTGCAGCGGGGTAACAGGAGTGCCTGCTGCAGCACAGCGGCAGCCAACGGTTAGTGTGTGTCTGCTGATGTGTTTGCTGTAAAGTTGAGTTATAATTATTGGGCATTGCAGGCCCGATTTGTGCAGCAGCAGAAGCATTCGTAGGAGCGGGGCGTTGCTGCTGGCAGCAGCAGCAGCATACTGCGAGGCAAGTGAGGCTTGCTAGAAGTTGAAAGTAGTGAAGGTATCAGCAGCAGAGAAGTGTGGGGCGGATAATGACACGAGGAACAGACAGTATCTGCTTCTGCTGGTGGTGCTGCTGCAGCAGCAGCAGATAATGCAGCAGCAGCGGCTAGCTGCAATCGCTGGGGGCCGAGGCGGAGCGAGGAGGCGGGTAGGAGGAGGTAGGCGGCAGCAGCTGTAATTTTTCTGTTTGCTCCTGATGTTTCATTTTATTTTACTTTGTATCAACAAAAAAATAATTAAATAAATTGGATTATTAATTATCTATATAAAAGAAGAAAATATGATGAAGGACACCGCAAAAAGCAGCAGCTGCTGCATATATTGTTCTGGGATCGAGCCACCACCACCGCCACATTGCAGAGCAGCAGCATCATCAGCAGCAGCTGCTGCAGCTGCTGCTACTGCTGCCTTTATAGCAGCCATGGGCCCTCGCTTCTAAAGAAGCAGCAGCACAGGAAGTGAAATAAATTAAACGAATTGTTGCTGCATAAAATGTACCCTAGGGTCCCCCCTTGGTGCTGCCGCTCCCTGTAAGGGCACTACAGCAGCAGCAGCTGCTGCTGCTGCTGCTGCGAGTATCGATCTCTTAAGACCGAGTTTGGCGTGCATGAGTGTGTTTGCCCAGCGACAAAAAGAAGAATAATTTATTTTTATTTTATTAATTTTATATATTTATTTATTTATAATAAATAAATAAATACCATTTCCGTAAAGAGCCCTGGGCTTCTGCTGCTGTTGCCTTTGTCTATGTTGTTGTGCTACTGCTGCTCCTGCGGCTGCGGCACAGCAGCAGCACTGCAGCCGGAGCTAATGCTGCTGCTGCTGCTGCTGCTGTCGATACAGCTGGGCCGCCGCGCCCCTCTCCTTTGCAGGCGTTTCCTTCTTCGTCGTCACTTTTCTCTTCTTGTAATAATATAATTGTCTTAAGGGCGCTGTTATTCTTCTTCTTACGCTGCTGTTGCTGCAGCTGCTCCTGCTGCTGCTGCTCCTGCTGCTGCTGCTCCTGCTGCAGTGCTGTCGATCTACTGCGCTCCCTAAGGCCACACAGAACAACTGGCTCCTCCTCCTGGAGACCTATTGCTGTTCTTCTGCTGCAGAGGTCTTCTTGCTGCTGCTGCTGCTGCTGCTTTTGTTGCAGCTGCTACTCTTTTTGTCTAAGGATCTTTTTCATAGGCCAACGCATAGGAAAGCAATCTGCAGCGGCAAAAGCGCCACGGGCTTCCTCCGCCGACCCAAGCAGCAGCGGCAACAGCGCAGCAGCTGCTGCGCAACAACAACAGCTAAAACAGCGTCAACAGTTGCAGCAACAGCATATGCATCAACAAAAAAGGATCTACAAGAGGAGTAGCAGTACCACGAGCTACAACAACAGCATCAGCTGCCTCCTCCGCCACAGCAGCAGCAGCGGAGGGGTCTGCAGCAGCGGCAGCAACCCACCAACTGTATCTGCACGAAGGGCGAATGATAAAGCCCTTTTGCTGCTGCTTTGTTGCTGCAGACGTCTGCTCTTAAGAGGTAGGAGGTGTACATACACCAGAAGATTGCGTATTGGTTCCCTAAGCTGAAGGTCCCTTTGCTACTACCCCTATCTATAGTTCTCCCCTGCTGCAGCAAGCTGCTGCTCCTCCTCCTCCTGAGGATCGTACGATCCCAGCTCTTCTCGGCCCCACTCCACGACGATGGGAGCGCCGCAGGGAGCCTCCCGCCAGCTGTCCTAGGTAGCAAAGCAGCAGCAGCACGAGCAGCACGAGCAACACGAGCAGCAGCAACAACAGCAGCAACAGCACCAACAGGAACACGTGCAGCAGCCGCAGCAACACGCTAAAGAACATCAACCACGGCATCACAACAAGCAGCAACTCCAGTACCTTCTTATTTCTTACAAATGCTGACAGGGGGGGCCTTAAACCTGGGGGCCTCGGCTCCCCCCCAGAGCCTAGCGCCCCCCACCGGCGTCCCCCCCCGGGCCAACCACGGGACCCCCTCCCAGGTGTCTGGAGAGGGTGATGGGGGGCCCCCAGGTGCCCCTTCAAAAGCTCCCCTTGACATAGGAGGTGGGAGTGCATGTTGGCCCTGTACCCACCCGCAGCTGGAGGGTCCTCCATCCTTATCTGCTTCCGCTGCAGCAGCAGCAGCAGCAGCAGCAGTGTCTACTTCTTCTGTGTATATTGCTGCAGGGGCCCCCCCCTCACCTAAATGGGCCTATGTCTCTGCTCCTGCTGAACAGGGTACTGACCAGAGGTTGTCTCTTTTAAGTACTGCAAGCGAAAGCACAGCAGCACCGCTGCTGCCTGTGGCGGGGGGCCTAAGACCAAGCTCCCCTGAGAGGGGTCCCCTGGGGGGCTCCCCTACCATTGCTGCTGGTACCCAGGAAGCGTCCGCGGGGGACTCTCCAAGAGGTGCAGCTGCTGCTTCTGCTGAAAAAGCAGCAGCTGCGAACAGAACAACCGGCCTTGAGGGAAGTGGGCAACAGCAGCAGCAGCAGCGGCAGCCAGTCGTGCTGGTGACTTCCGATCAGAAACCTCAGCAGAAGGGACAACAGCTGCAGCTACAGCAGCAACAGCAACAGCTGCTGCAGGAGCAGCAACAACAGCAGCAGCAGCAGCAGCAGCTTCAACAGCTGCACCAGCGTCAACAGCAGCAAGAGCAGCAACAGCAGCAAGTACGTCGCCTTTTTATTAGCACTGAAGACAGTTTGCCGCAGCAAGATGCCCCCACAGACGACGGTCTGCTGCTGCAGCAGAGCAGTCCCTTTTGTTTTGAAGATACGGCGGGGCCATACAGAGTAACCCCGCAACAGCAGCTGCAACAGCAGCAACCGCGACAGCAGCAGCTGCAACAACAGCAACTGCAACAACAGCATCTTAAACAACAGAAAGTGCAGCAACAGCAACTGCAACAGCAGCTGCTGCAACAGCAGCAGCTGCAACAGCAGCTGCAGCAACACCTGCAGCGCCAACTTAATGAAAACCAGCAACAGCAGCAGCAGCAGCAGCAGGTATTTAACCCTCCCAGTGGCCTCACACTATCTGCCCTTCAGCCCGGACTATGCAAGAATGCTGCCCCTGAGGATAGTGCATTTTTAGGTACAGGTTAGCTGCTGCTGCTGCTGCTGCTGTTGTTGTTTCGGTTGCCGCTGGTGCTTTGCCTGTTGCTGCTGCTGCTTCAGGTCTGGCTTCATGTGTTGCTTCGGCTGCATCTGCTGCTCTCTTAGCAGGACTCAAGATGCGTATCTGCTACTGGATGGTTTTTCTGCTGCTGTTCAGGGGACGAGATGGCGCTACCGCTCGTACAGCAGCAGCAGCAGCAGCAGCATCTAGGGTTCACTGTGCCTTCCTCAGGGGCAGGCAGCAGGAACTTCGAAGGGCTGCTTCAGCTCACTAACCAGTCAGTGATGGATGCTTTGGTGTCGCTTCTACAGCAGCGACAATCTCAGCAGCAGCAACAACCGCAGCAGCAGCAGCAACAGCAGCAGCAGCAACAGCAACAGCAGCAACAGCAGCAGCAGCAACAGCAATTTCCTCTGTCGCTCGTCGGTGGGGTTGCACAGCGCTCGTGGGGTTGCGAAGATGCTGGGGTACCGACAGCTGGTGCTCCCTGGTTGCCCCTAAAGCAGCAGAAGCAGCAGCAGCAGCAGCAGCACGAGCAGCAGCAGCAACTTCTGCAACAGCAGCATGGAACAGGAGGAGTCCAGCAAGAGGTCATGCTGCGGCTGCTGCAACATATGAACAACTGTGGGGCAGTGGCCCACGTGGCCATTGCACTGCAGCAGCAGCAGCAACAACAGCAGCAGGAGGCTAGCATCAAGCGCATGACCGAGAGCCTTGGGCTGTTGGATCTCAGCGATAGGCTCAGCAGCATCAGCAGCGACGCAGTGGTGGGAGTGCCTTCGGAAGCATCGATTACAGCAGCACTGAATCGACTTTCGCAGCCTGCAGTGCAGCAGCAGCAGCAGCAAATGGAGGAGGAGCAGCAGCTGCTGCAACTGCGATCTTGCTCAGGGAGGGGAAGCGAACCACTAGGTGAAGGCCGCAGCAGTGGGGGGGGAAGGCAGCGCCGCAGGAGAGAGAAGAGGAAAGAGGGGAGGAACTCAGTCCCCTTAACAGCAGGAGACTTGGTATGCTGCTGCGGTTGCTGTTGTTGCTGCTGCTGTTGCTAGCGCTGCTGCAGCAGTGCTTCAGGGGCTACGACGTTGTACTGTGGTGCAACAGGCGTACATCTTAGTGCAATACAGCAGCAGAACCTGCCCTGAAGCAAATCCCTTATCCTAGAAGATCATGTTTATGGTATAGGGTTTAAGGTGTATTCTGCGTGTGTGTGGGTTCCAGTCTGAGGGGGCAGCGCTGTCGCCTAACTGCAGGTTGCTATTGGAGCAATGGGGACGCAATGCAAGGGACCTCACTCCTGAAGAACAGAGCTCAGGCCTTGTGTGTCATTGCTGTTGCTTGTTGCTGCTGCTGCTGTTGCAGTTGCTGCTGCTGCTACTGTGGTTGTCGCATCTGGTGCTGCTGTTGCTGCTGTAGCGGCTGTTGCTGCTGTTACATCTGGTGTTCTTGCCCTTTGTGCTTATCCAGTTGCAGCAGCTTCTTCTGCATCTAAGTGTTTCCGGGTGGAGCATTTGCTGCGACAATTGTCGAGCAGCAGGTGCTGCTCCAGCAGTTGCTGCAGTAGGGCTCTCAGGTGTTGTTCCGCATATGTTTCGGCTCTATGGGGAACTCATTTTGCTGCCTGCCTTCAGCTGGAGTTTTCCACAAATGCATGCGGGGCGAATATTATCGTTAAGTTCCTTGAGAACAATAAAGACGACGCCAGTCGGCGGCTGCTACTGCAGCTGCTGCTGCCGCATGTCAGCACCCTAGCAGCAGATATGGCAGGCAACTTCATCGTACAGAAACTTTTCGACATCTGTGCGTCAATAGAATACTTTTCCTTCTGCTCCTGCTGCTTCTGCTGGTGCTCACACTGTGCTGTTGTTGCTGCTGCTGATGCTCATGCTGCACCACTGGTGCTGCTGCTGCCCCTGCTGGCATTGGTTGACTTGCCCTCGCGGTGCGGCAACCGACCTGCGAGGCAAAATTAGCGGGAGCCTTGTGCGCCTGCATATTTGTATAGGCTTCATTCATTGTTGCGCCTGTTCGTAGTGCTTCTCCTGCTGTTTGTCATCAGGCCCTCCCGAAGAAAGGAAGATGATACACAACCGCATGCTTCCGGACGTATTGCGCTTGTCTCTGCGCACTTATGGGTGCCGCGTTATCCAAAAAGCTCTTGATGTCCGTTGCTGCTGCTTCTGCTCCTGTTGCTGCTTCTGTTGTTGCATCTGTTGTTGCTGCTGCTGCTGGTCTTCGTCCGCTCTGATTTTTGCTTTCTGTCTTGCTGGTGCTTCCTTGGCCCACAGCCAACACGCGCTGCCAGTGCAGGAATGGGCAGCAGCGCCAGCAGTAGTTGTCGTTGTTTGCATTGCAGCAGCAAAGACGCCGGGGGCCTCATGATGGATAGGCGCTGCTGCTGTTTTCTGCAGGTATTGGACGACGAAGAAAGAGTGGAGATAGCCAAGAAACTGGACGGGAGTGTGCTGAGGTGCATAGGAGACCAAAATGGTAGGCATAGATGATATCTTGCTTCTCTCGACTCCTTTAACAGGTGTCTCCCGTCTCCCTTATTTTGTCTCACCTATTCCCTGTCTCGCCTTGGGGTTACCTCCGCCTTCCCATTTACTGCTCCCTCTTGTGGATATTTATTCCTGTCTCCTCTTCATATCGAAATGCTGTCGCCTGTCTCCTCTCCCGTGATTATGCCTCGTGCCACCTCCTACTTGGCTGTGCCGTTTTTTCTTTCTCCTTTTTGTCCAGGTCGTTTGCCTCGTGCCTCCTGTCCGTATATGGTCTCTCTGGTTTCATCCAGATGCTATATCCTGTCTTCTGTCTACTCTCCCTTGCCCTGTGCCTTTCGGTTGTGAGCCGCTGGCTGAGGGAGGTTGCCCTCTCTCCCCCCTTTGCTGTTGTCGTCTCCTCCTCTTTTCAATGTTGAGGCACCTTTCTTTGAAGGCAGTGCTGCTCCTTCCTGCTGCAGTCTCCGCAGCGGCTGTAGAGCCCATGGCATAGTAGTATGTGCCTCGTACAAGTGCCTTTGCGTCGCTGTTACCCGTGCTCCTTCTTCCACCCCTTTGACTCCTTCCAATGCATGCGACGGCGGTGCAAGACTTTGTCCCTTTTTGATTACTTTTTTTACGACCGCTGACCTGCTGCTGCTGTTGCTGCTGCATTTGCTACTGCCTATGCTGCTACTGCAGGCAACCACGTTATTCAGAAGTGCATCGAGAAACTGCCTAAGGGGGGACTGCAGTTTATTCTTGATGCCATCGCTGGAAAGGAGGAACATCTCGCCTCTCACTGCTACGGCTGTCGCATTATTCAGAGGCTGGCGAAAGCCTGCAGCATAGAGCAGATAGTAGGCTCAGCAAACGCAGCAACAGCACAGAGAGAACAGTAACCAAAACAAAAAAGGCGGAATCGGTTCCTAACGTTTCCTGGATTCTTTCCAGTATAAATAAACAGATATATGGTTTTCTGCTCTTCTGTCTTCCCCTCCGCGCGACTGTCCCTTGCCGTTAGCTAGCCATCCACTGTCTATTTCGCGGTCTTGACATCCTTTTGTGTCCTCCTGATTCGCTGTGAGTCGCTCTCCCTGCAGACGCCGGTGCTAGATGCAGTTATGGCCTCTCTACCTTCTCTTGCTGAAGACCAATTTGGGAATTATGTAATTCAACACCTCCTGAGTTACGGCAGAGAGCAAGACAAGCAGTGAGCCACAACACGCGACAGAAATGGGGAACCCTAGCAGCAGCAGTGTCAGCCCCAAGAGCAGCATGCTTTAATGTGCCTTAAGATGGCCAGAAGCTGTGCTGAAGCCATGCAGCCTGTCGGAGATCGACTTGTAGGCGGGTGCCTTTGCTTGCATATTTTGCGGAGGGGATTTCATCACAAGGATAGTAAATTGCCATGAGCGCATAGTACAATGTGTACTATGTATGCAGGAAGCAGAGTTGAGTAGTGACGGTTTCTGATTATGATCGTATATTATCGTGGAACAGCAGTGCAGTCGTCTGCTTCCTGCGGCATATGTTTATATTCGTGTAGGCACAGCTGTTTTTGTTGTGTATGTCTTTCGCGTCGCCTTTAGGGAAATTTTGGAGTTTCTAAAGAACAACATGTTTACTTTGGCAAAGCAGAAATACGCCTGGTGAGCCGCTTGGTTTCTGTGTAGAATTGTGTGGAACATGAAAGCAGACTGTCCAGCAGATATCCCAGGGAGCACGAAGAGAGGGAAAACTGACAAAAATGATTGTAGTCTGTGCTGCATGGGGCTGTGACTGTCTGCAGTAATGTCGTTGAAAAGGCTCTGAGCACCAACACCCTTGGGCGGGCTCAGCCAGAGTTGATTGCCGTGGCTTTGAAGGCGGACCCCCAGTGAGCAGACGACGGATACCTTCTTAAGTTGTCCCGTTTCTCTCTCTGCACCTCTAAGAAATGGAGGTGTATGCAGCTGCATGAAGCCACATGCGGATAGCAATGAGTCTTTTAAATATATCTCTAGACGCTGGCGGGTGTCTGGGGTTTGCTGGGGGTCTGTCGACGCGAACGGGCCCTTTTTCGCATTGCCTCGAACTGCTGCTGCTGCTGCTGTTTGCATGCATGGAATGTGCAGGAAGAGGGCCGGGCTGATAGCGTTGATGCAGGACCGCTACGGCAACTACGTCGTCCAGCGAATGACAGAAGTTGCGAAGGGGCAGCAGCGCAAGCAGCTGGTCAAATGCCTTACCGAGCAGCTGCCGCATCTCCGCAGCAGCCCATACGGTGAGCCGCTTCGTTACGTCCATTTATATTGCGTGGGCATGTGCTTGGGGCCCTGCAGATATTGCAGGGACGTCTGCGTGTGTCCGTGTGTGTGTGTGTGTGTGTGTGTGTGTGTGTGTGTGTGTGTGTGTGTGTGTGTGCGAGTGTGTGAGTTGGAGTGTGAGTTAGTGGGTAGGTGTGAGTGCGTGTGGTAGGGTGTGCTGGGGGGTTGTGGGGGAAACTTGGGTTTAGTTATTTCAGTTGCAAAACGCATAGCAGGGTAGAACGATCGGACAAGGGTTCATTGTGCTGTGTTGTGCTATGCATTTGTGCTACTGCAGGAAAACACATTGTGGCTGCATTAGAGCGTCTGGACATCAGCGACAGCTGTTCCAGCGAAGCAGCAGGGGATCCTGCCAGCACCAACGTAGTGCCCGCGCTGCCACTGAGGCGCCGCGGGTCGACACTGCAGCCGCCGCAGCAGCTGCAGCCTCAGCAGCAGGAAACAGGCACAACCTCTCCCCCCGCAGGGCGGCGCAGGACTGTGCCTCAAGACCAATGCAGTCAGCGCCAAGGGAGGAAGCAGCACTCGTCCCCCCGAGCAGGCATTCGGCCAAAGGCAGCGAAAAGTGAGGGGGGGGCACAAGACATATTCGATGGGTTGGTGGACCGCACCCTTCCTATAGATGGGCGAGGCTCGCAAAAACCCTCAGGAGCGCAGCGCAGTCTTTCTATCACTACAGCAGGGGCACTGACTTCCCCGCAGCAGCAGCAGCAACAGCAACAGCAACAGCAACGGCAACAGCAACAGCAACAGCAACAGCAACAGCAACAGCAACAGCAACAGCAACAGCCACAACAACAACAACAGCCACAACAACAACAACAACAACAACAACAACAGCAACAACAACAACAACAACCACTACTACAACAACCACAACAACAGCAACAAGCACAGCAACAACAACAGCAGCAACAGCAACAGGAGCAACAACATCAACAACAACAACAGCAAGAACAACAAAACCAGCAACAACAACCACAACAACAGCAACAGCAACGGCAACAGCAACAGCAACAGCAACAGCAACAGCAGCAGCAGCAGCAGCAGCAGCAACAGCAACAGCAACAGCAACAGCAACAGCAACAGCAACAGCAACAGCAACAGCAACAACAACAACAACAACAACAACCACAACAACAACCACAACTACAACAACCACAACAACAGCAACAAGCACAGCAACAACAACAGCAGCAACAGCAACAGGAGCAACAACATCAACAACAACAACAACAACAGCAAGAACAACAAAACCAGCAACAACAACCACAACAACAGCAACAACAACAACATCAACAGCAGCAGCAACGGGTGCTGATGTTGCTAGAAGGGAGAAGGGACTGTGGCATTCCCACCTCAGCAGCGGAGGCTGGCCAGATCCAGGGGCCCATCAGCCTTCGGACAAAAGACGTCTCTGTGATGGCAACGGCTGCAGCGAGGCTTTTGTTAACAGACACCCCGCAGCAGACGCATGCACCTACAGTGCAGAACGCTGGTTGTATGGATGGCTTGGGGCTGCCACCTGATCTGCAGTGCAACCCGGATGCCGTTGGATACAAGGCCCAGCGGGTCCCCGCCTCACCAACAGGGGATTCGCTAGCCTTCAGCGGCGTCGACAGCAGAGGAGGTTCGCGGCCCCCAGCCAGACACAGCACCTTGTCCGACCTGCTGGGCATTTGGGGCGATCAGCAGCAGCAACAGCAGCAGCAGCCTTCTCCGTGCAGCACTGCAGACGCCAGCGCCCTCGAGCCGTTCGAGGGACCCGTAGGCGAAAACTCAGGCAGTGCTGTAAGCAGGCGAGATGACTGGAAGTGGGGACAGACGCCTTTGTTCTTTCACCAGCCCACACCACCTTCTTGGTAGCCCTCACGGCTACGTCAATAGACCCAGGAACATCTGTGCACCTCTACTGTTTATGAGGAAACAACCGCCTCAACAACACTGCAACGACGCCAACAGTGACAACAGCAACAGCAGCATCATTTTTCAATGTGGAAACAATGGTATCTGGAGAGGCAACAGCAGTGGCAGCAGCAACAGCAACAGCAGTGGCAGCAGCAATAACAGCGGAGGGGAGGGTGAATGTTGCTGCAGCATAACAGCAGCATAACGGCAGCATAGGCAATCGTCTTTGTAATTGACTTCAATAATGCAAGCTGTTGAGCAGCAGCGAAATGGGAATGATGTGCTTCTATCCTCTACATGGTCAACGTATGCTTGTAGCGGAGCAGGCAGTTCAGCGTGTCTCGGGTATTGGGGCTCACAGGGGAAAGGGTGACAGCATTTAATCAGAGCCACGTGAAAGTGCCTCCTCCATCTAACTCATTTGTCTGATATGCGTGGTGGGACACCGGCCTGACGAGGGATATGCGCCTTTGAAGAAGCTACACGTGTTCTTCGCCCCAAAAAGAAGCCCAAAACCTTGCAGGGTACAGGTACGCTGCCAGGCGTCAGCGTTGCAGTCTTAGTGCGGCCGATCTCAACCGGCTCCGGTTGTCTTTGCTGTAGCAGTTCACTCTGGACTCAGTCCAGATTCTTGAGGAAGAAGTAGCAGCAGATGCAGGAGGTGCTGGTTATTCTAGTGGCATTTATTTACTGCGGTTACTTTTTATTGTATTGTTTCAAGTGCGAGTTCGTCTGTAAGGGCGTAGAGACAGCACGTGCAGCGTTTGGCGCGTCATCCCATGCGGGGGACCTATATTGTACATGTTATATTGTATATATTACATATCTTGCTGATTTTATTGCTCAACGTTCCCCCTTCGTTGAGTCTTGTGTAGCGTCCCGCCCCGTTGAGTTCGGGGTCATGGCTTGTGTATACTTCGGGTTCTCCACTGAAAGCGTGGATGACATGTGTTGTGTAGAGAGCAGCAGAACAGCTGCTTTAATTCGCTTTTCTTATGACGTCACTCGCCTTCAGAGGTGGCCTTTTTCTGGGCCATCCGCCGGGCAGGCGAGGGAGCTGAATCCACACAGGAGGGGGGTGAGGACATCGTCTTCTCGCCAAGAGCCTCATGCCTTCGTCCCTGTGATGGTCTCAGTTGAAAACGAACAGATTCGTCTTATCACAGCAGTGCTGTGCCTCCAGGAAGGCTGCAGCTGGCGGCAATAGACGAAGATGTGGCTGTATGATTTTGTTGTGCGTGCACGCTGGCACAGTTGCGAGCCGCAGTTCGCTGCAGGGATGCAGGTCTAGTACAGGTAGTGGCAGCATCTCGCATGGATGTGAGCTTTCCTTAGCCTGCGGGGCAGCCATATGAAAGGTGCTGCAACGCGGGCAGCCAAAGTGCAGCTTTCTTATGTTTTACAATTTGGCCTCCGGGCGGGACTGTAGCCCTCCTTGAAGTCTTATTCTGAGGTGTTGCTAAAACCCTTACCAGTCATCTACACCCTTCTCTCTGTCCCTCGTCACCTCACCTGATGCGAACCAGTGAGGGTAGCTTTCCAGGTGTCATATGGCGAGAAAATAGCCTTTTAAGCATGTACAAAGACAGGGGAGAGGCAACAAGCTCCCTTTGGCAATGTGAATCCTGTATTGGGTTCGATAGGCGCGGTAGTAGCACAACATCTGGCCCTGAAGGTACAACCTGCGCTGGTTGAGCTCCTGCTAGTTTAGACAGAGGACCAGGAAAATTATGACTAGGTACAACAAACTCACTACGATGTAGTTGATGTTCCTGTGGGTACAAGGCGAGACGTGTTCTGCCTTCTGTGTGATACTACTTTGACGCGCAGAGGCCATTTCAACTGTTAGCATTAAAGGGAGATCGACCAACTCTTTGAAAGCTTGAATTGCCACACCGAGGTGCAAATATGTGGCGTCCGCATCTGGAGCTTTTCCTTAGAGGGAAACTGCAACATTACCATGCAGTCTTTGGTGCAACTTTCTGCCACTTGTTGCACATGCTATTTAGGGAGGGGGTCGGGCATACGCAGAAGATACACAAGGATGTCCCTCCACAGTGTCGCTTTGCTCTACTTCAGTAGACCAGAGGCTGGCGGCGAGGGCGAAAAACTGACGGGTATTCTCCATCAGCCGGTATCGTCGGCTTCGCTGCATGTGCACAGTAGACGAGGGCAATTATTATGGTGAAACAAGCTCCTCTAAAAAGTCTTGGGCAACCCGATAAATTCGTAACACACATGCCCAACAGCAGAGCATCACCACAAGTTCTCGAGCATGAGACTTGCCGTGGGCATGCGGAGAAGACTTTATAGTCTTCCTCGGCGTAGATATTCATGAGAGTGTGGGGATGGGGTCTGGTTCGAGTTCAAATGGCAGCAGCAAGTACACAAATATGAGAAAATATTCAAATGATACCTCTGAATTATGAAATGGAAAGGTGGCCGTTTTGAACACGTGATCTCCTTTATTCAACTACAGCTTCACCGAATGAGTCTCACCCGTTTAAGCAAAAGACTCCACGTCGTTCTCCCCGCTGTACATAGCATGAAGAGAACTCTGTAGGCTACTAAGAAGCATCCACAACGTTTCCCCGGACTCTTGCCTCCGACTGAATGTCCGAAAAACCACGATGCCTATCCGGAGATGGCTATGAATTACAGGAAGATGTAAGATGATAAACCTCCCACACATTAGCCGCCCACTTTCGAAAGAATAAAGTGTATTAGAGAAGCCTGGGAACTGGTTGAAGAAGGTTGTGATTCGAATTACTGGCCACACACTGGGTGAGAGCGAATTGCGTTGGTCAGTTCCATCTACTCTCAGTCTAACACTGGCCTATATAAAGAGTCTAAATATGTCGAGTAACGTCCCTCTAACTACTTCTGCACCATGCCTACTAGGCCTACCGGCTCTTTTGCAGTAAGTAGCGGGGGGCAGCTCACGAAGATGGAGCTATACAAGCATAGAATGAAGCCCTCGTAGGCTGGCACCTCTGCTGCTCCATATAGAAGACTGCCCACAGCTTTTTCTTTCGGTTGCATCTGCACTTAAGCACCAGTGAGAGGCGCCGGAAGAGTTGCTATAACTCCCTGATATCTCGAGCAAACAAAGTCAAACACCCTCTATCCTGCCTTACAAAGCGCATTTGGGAATCAAACAAAGGAAAGGAAAGGAACTATGTGGCCGAAAAACAGCCCCTCCGCTAGCCTGGCACCTCCTAAGGGGGCCCTCACCTTATAACTCAAAGCAACACTTTGAGGCAGTGAAAGATGAAGTTCCTTAACGAAAAGCTAATGATGGATATCTTCAGATACACACGGCTGTGAAACACAAAACCCTATTCATGTTCCCGTGAGCACACCAAAAATGCAAGAACTCGCTCGCTTCTCTCCGCGCGCAGCAGGTACGCCAGCTGACGAGGCATGTGGGAACAATTGCATCAACTTTCATTTAAACGAACTCTTATGTTCTTAAAGGAGTTAGAAGGAATCCTTCAGCCGTGGTTGTGTCCAGCCAAGTCGCAGCTGCTGCCTACAGCGCCGCTTGGCAGCGAAGTGGGGAGATTAGCGGAGATTGCAGTTAAGGAAGAGGCCTTGTTGTTCGAATTCCTCTGATGACTGTTTCTTGATATGTCTGGGGGTTTGTAGGCGTCTAAACAACCAGGGAGGGTAGACGACAACTGCCTCTAGAGGTGGCTCATCTCCCCACTCTGGGGGCCGCTATGTCGGTGGATGGCTCTCAAGTTGCTGCTGGTGCTGCTCCCGCTGCGGTTCCTTCAACACAGTTTGTACCCTGGATACGGCTCAACAGCAACAGCACCTCTGAGTCTGGCTGTACGTTGAGAGGAGAAGACAACAACGCGATGGCCAACTTGACTCCTGTGGCTGTTGGCGCGGAATGAACGAGTAACCATTCTCGTTTCTCCTGCTCCTTATCGCTGGTGTTTGTTCACTTTCAACGGTGGCAGGAACACAGGAATCAGAAAATCAGCAGCTAACACGTCGGCACACCACTCAATGACTTTTGGCTTGTTTACAGCCAGATGAGCCGCAGATGCGCCACTCACATATGAAAGGAGAGGTGCAAAGCAGCACATTTGCATAGTGCTAATGGAGGTTCCCAGAGGAAACGGCTCGCGGAGGATAGCCGTGATAGACCCGTGTCCCACGAAGTCTCTTGCAGGCGCCGCGTGTAGACCCGACAGCAGCAAAAGCTCTTGCAGCAGCAGGAAGACTTTGTCAAGGAGCGCCTCTGCAAATGGCCCAGATACCGCATTGGGCAGCGATCGCTCATGCGAATGCCCCATCCCCGCGAATCAGCAGCAGCAAAGGCTCCAGCAGCAACAACAGCAGCACAAGCCTAAGCATCAGCACCGGCGACACCAGTCACATAAATTCCGGCACCACTCGCCGGTTAACGGCAGGGAGTCGCAGATTGTAGGATAGGTTCGAAGTGGCGACATGGTGGCCTTCAGGCAGCAGCGGCAGCCCGAGCAGCAGAAGAAGCAGCAGCAGATACAGCAGCAGAAGCAGCAGCAAATGCGGGGGGATGCGTCTGCACGCAGAAAGGAGTCACTATCGCATGCTGCAACTACTCGAGAGGCCACCCACGATTCCGCATCATCGTCACCAGCAACAGGAGCAACAGCTGCAGCTGCGGCTGGAGCAGGTTGTGAGGGTCTGGAGGGGAACCTTCATTGGACTCCTTTTGAGTTTTCATGCGGAGACTTCGATGCGTCTTCTCCTTATGTACCCGTTGCGCTGTTGGGAAGAGGCGCCGTTGGCCGCGTGTTTCGTTGCACTGAAAGGTCGTCGGGTGACAGCGTCGCTGTCAAAGTGGTACGCTGGCCAAAATTGTTGTTGCTCCTTTTGATGTACAGACAATGTTGTTGCTGTTGCATCGGTGTAATCCCTGCGGCTGCTGTTGCTAATAGCGAAAACGTTGCTGCGGTAGCTTTATTTGCGCGCTACTGGTGCGCCTGCTGCTGCAGTCGTGTGTATTTAATGTAATGTAATGTAATTGCAATTGTAATTGTAATTGTAATTGTAATTGTAATGTAATGTAATGTAATGTAATGTAATGTAATGTAATGTAATGTAATGTAATGTAATGTAATGTAATGTAATGTAATGTAAATGTAATGTAATGTAAATGTAACGTATTGTAAATGTAATGTAATGTAAATGTAATGTAATGTAAATGTAATGTAATGTAAATGTGTAATGTATGTAAATGTATGTAATGTAATGTATGTAAATGTATGTAATGTAATGTATGTAAATGTATGTAATGTAATGTATGTAAATGTGTATGTAATGTAATGTATGTAAATGTGTATGTAATGTAATGTATGTAAATGTGTATGTAATGTTATGTATGTAAATGTATGTAATGTAATGTATGTAAATGTATGTAATGTAATGTATGTAAATGTATGTAATGTAATGTATGTAAAACACATACATTAGTAATGTATGTAAATGTATGTAATGTAATGTATGTAAATGTATGTAATGTAATGTATGTAAATGTGTATGTAAA